AAGTGCATGAGGTCCTCCTCAGTTTCAGTGAGCAAGGTTGTGTCATCTGCATAACGCAGATTGTTGATAGATCTTCCACCAATCCTAACACCACACGTCTCCTCATAGAGCCCAGCCTCTCAGATACTCTGCTCTGCATACAGGTTGAAATTATGAGAGATGAGGCTTCTTTGCCATCTTTGTCTCCAAGCAGCACTTTAGATGCACTCTTCCCAAGATATATTTGTTCTTCTGTCAATCTCCAGAATATTGAGTACTCTTCTCCAGCACCACAAATCAAAGGCATCAATTCCCCCCCTTTCATCCTTATTTCTTGTCGAGCTCTCAGATGAATAGCAAGTGATTTAAAAAAACAAATCCTGAATTGAGTGCACCTTAGTCTTCAAACTAACATCATTGCTCTGCAGTACTTTGTAGAGGTCTCTGACAACAGACTTGCACAATTAAATACATCTCCTGATCTCCTGACTGTTGGTACCAAGTTTGCTATTGTTGACCCAAGCATGATGAAATGATTGATAACATCAATCATTTCTTCATGTGTCATGATGTTGCCTATTGGCCAAGTGGTAAGGACCTTTTTTTTTAACCCCTGATATTGACATGTAATTCACACTGAAGGTTATAATCCTTGATATTCTGTTGGAAATGTTTTTTTCAAGTCCTCCTCACTTTCAGCAAGGAAGATTTTGTCATATATGGAACACAGGTTGTTGATGGGTCTTCCTCTAATCTTGAACCACATTACTCTTTATAGAGACCAACTTAGTGAATTCTCAGCATACAGGTTTAATGGGTATGGAGAAAGCATACATCACTGGCACACACCTTTCCTGGCTTTAAACCATGCAGCATGCCATTGCTCCATTCAGACAGCAGCATCCTCTATGTATAGATTTTGCTTGAGCACAGTTACGTATTCTGTGATTCCCATTCTTCTCAATGTTCGTTATAGTTTGTTATGATCCACACAATCAAACACCTTTGTATAGTTCATAATGCACAAATTAACATTCTTCTGGTATTCTCTGGTTTCAATCAGGATTCAACTAACATCAGCAATGCTATCTCAGGTGCCATGGCCTCTTCTAAATCCTGCTTGAACTTCAGCCAATGTACTGTTTTAGCTACTTTTGGATACTCTTCAGCAATATTTTACTGCATGTGATACTAATGGTATTAATTCTATAATTTCCACATTTTTGTGGATAACCTTTCTTGGCAATGAAAACAAATGAAAAGGCATCAATTCTCCTTCTATCCTCCTTGGTCATTGTCCAGTCTTCTGATGCATAACAAGTGATTGCAAAGACCACGGCCTGTATCAGGTACACCTTGTTCTCCAGAGTGACACCATTGCTCTTCAGTACTTTGGAGAGGTCCCTAATAGCAGACTTTCCCATCGCAATACACTGCTGGTGCCAAGAATGTTGACTGTGGAGCCAAGCAAATGAAAGCTGTTAAAAATCTCAATCTCTTCACCATCCATTCTGATGCTGCCAACTGGCCCAGTGGTGAGAATATTTGTCTTCTTGATATTGAGCCTCCATGTTGAAGGCTGCATTCCTTGACCCTCTGCAGCAAGCGCTTCAGGTCCTCCTCAGTTTCAGCATGCAGTGTTGTGTCATCTACATAATGCAGATTATTGATGAGTCTTCCACCAATACTGATGCCAAACTTCTCCTCATAGAGCGCAGCCTCCTGGATAATCTGTTCTTCATACAGGTTGAAAACAGAAAAATCTAAATAAATAAATAAAATCTAGACTCCATAGTAGAGTTTGTGAAGAGAATTTGGATGGATATGTTTTATTGAGAGAAAGCGTCTCAACTAACACACACACACACACACACACACACACACACACATGCTGGCACACATGCTCACACATCCTGTCTGCCCCCAAACCATAAAGGAGGAGTACAGGAGGATGTGGGAGGAAGGAAAGCTGAGCAAAGATATTGTCTCACGCTAAATTCTAGACTTGTTTTACTCAATAGACTGAGATAAATAGAAGCTGCACTTAAAAGTACTTCTTTTCTCTGCTTAATATGGAGCTCTCTACTTTTGTTTGTTCTGCCATAGTAGGTGGGGTTCTCATAGTAAAGGTAAACAGACATGTCTTTGAGCTATTAGAAGCCAACACTTTCAGCAGCACAAGACACCAGGGTATCCACTTCTAATAACTGAAGACATGAATGGGTTCAAAAGATCCAGAATGTCCATATACTAAGGAGGAAAATCAGTAAGAACTAGAAAGCAAAAGATACACGAGCCTATTTAAATAAAAACAACAGCAAGAATCAAAACAATGACAAAACACAATGTATAGTTAAACTAAAGGCTGAATTACTCAGCTAGAAGAATACTTTTATAGAAATAATCATGGCCTAAAAATTTTAAATAATAGAAAATAAGGCATGGTTAGAAATAAGGTGAAGGAATAATAATAATTAAAAAAGTTATCATACCTCTTACTGAAGTTCCTAAAGGGGATCATGGACACTATATAATATTTGAAAAAATAGTGTCTTATGAGCCTTCAGAATTTAAAAAAAAGTAATCTTTTGATCTTGAGAACTCGGAACATCACAAATAGGATAAATATAATAACTAGCTATAACACTTATCAAAAGCCTACACACAGAGAAAGATATACAAGAGATAAGCTATAAAATGGGAGAAAATTTATGAAATAAATTAAATTTCAAGATGAGCTTCAAAGCTTATGAATCAATGAGAAAAGGATAAACGCCTAAAATAAAATGACCATAAAGACATTAATAGACATTTCATTAAATAAGGAACACACAGGTCTTAGGAATATATCCATTAAGTTAGAGCTATTTTTATTAATCACGGAAATTAAAACAATAACCAAAATGAAAAGCCAGTTTCTACAGTCCAGTTTTCCCACAATTAAAAAGAGCTAATAAATAAGTACTATCGATAATGATCCAGAACGAAACTCTTATAAGTAGGGTGGAAACTAGTACTTTGGAAAATAGTTTGAAATCAATTGCAAAGCAAATGGGGAATGTGTGTGTTGACTGTTACCTTGTATTTCACCAATATATATCCTCAACATTCTTTTGATTATGTGTGTTAAGAATTTTATAGCAGCATTGTTACAACTGTAAATTATCTGGAACAACTCAAATGTTCTACAGTTGTAGAATAAATTAATGACTATATAGTAGAATGCTTTACCACAATGAAAGTAATAAACGGCTAAGTATAACAAATGACTCACAAAAGACATCTTGAACAGAAGAAGCAGAAAAAGTATATATAGTATTGTGATTCTATTTCTTCACTGTTCACAGGTAAAATTAAGTCTTCTTATGGATGTATACTAACTGTAAAACTTTAAAGAAGATAAGGAAATAACTATCACAAAATATAATTTAGTGGTTTTCTCTGGATGTGAGGAGGTGGGAGGTGCTGTTTGAGATAGTCATTGTCAAAAAGGAAATATCTAAATGATCTATTTCTCATCCTACACAGTAAGCACAGGGGTGCTTATTTTTTTAAAAAAATAATTTATACATATAATTTGATGTGATATTTTTAGAATATAGGCCTATACATTTTCATTTTCCAAACCATATAATTTAAATACTTTGGGGTTTTGTTTTCTGTCATAGAAGTTATCATTGTAATTACTTAGTTGAGTGCTTACTTATTCTAATCCAGTTTATTTCATTCAAATTAGTTAATCAGGAACACCAATTATGACATATTAAGTTTTTCTTTCTGTGTATGTATCCAAATAGAAAATATTTTCACGAACCATAAATACTAGTTATTGAAAACTGAAAACTCAGGAAGTCTAACAGAGCTGAGATGTCAAGACTGGATCAGAAAGGTCCACAGATTGAGAATCAAGAAATCAGAGTGACAGAAATTTTATTTTTTAATTCTTAGATCTTCTATCATAAGTACATTGGGTTAATTTATTTCACAGCCACAGAGAAAATGTAATAGAGAATGTCCCATGACTAATTAAACAAATAAGAACAATACATTAAAGGAATGACCTTAAAAAGTGTGAATTAGGGAGCTCTGGTAGCCTAGTGGCAGGAAGCTGCACTGCAATCCTGAAGGTATGCAGTTTGAGGCCACCAGCTGCTCCTTAGCAGATGGGTGGGCAATTCCCTCCCATGATTTCAACTCAATGGTACACAAAAAGTGTTAATTAAAATTCAAGTGTGGATGGATAAATTGGACAGTCATATAGATTCTAAAGGTACAAACAATAATCATTTTAGATTTTTTTTTTAAAATAATTTTTTAAAAAAAATTATGCAATTCATTCCCATTTAGGTTTTATCAATTTTGAGGAACTTCTATTCAGTACAAGTTGAATAACAACTACAGTAACAACAATACAAATTACATAAACTTTCTGTATCATCTGGCTAATTGTTGTTGCAGAAAGCACAACTAATTTTTGGTCTCTGCAGAGTCAAGCACAGAAATGAGCAAATGAACAAATTTATAAACATCATGGAAAGAATTGTAGAGAGGAACTGGAGCCACTCGAATGCCATTTGGTTCCCGCTTGTCACACTGCAGGGAAGGGAGAAGAATAATAAAGTACAAATATTATTAGTATAAATAAAATAAACATTTACATTATTTATGCTTATTTCTCTAATACCTAATACATAGGAAAACACTTTTACAATGTTTTTAAAAAGTCTCCTTTACTAGTAATTAAAATACTACTGGGTTAATAACATGAACATATAATGTGTTTTCTTGAAATTTCTCAGTAATTGCTATCTTTTAGCCTGCAGAGATCATATATACAATTTGTATATCTGAGGCCCTTGACTGAGTTGAATGCATGGACGAATCTAAATAAATGAGGGCACTGACACTGGGATAGTTTGACTTAATTATCTTCATATTTCATTCTTTAATCCTTACTCCTTAAGTAAGAAGTTGGTTATATCACTGGATATTGCAAAAAATCCAGAAATAAGACCACAGAATTTGGTTAACCCTGAAAATAACCTCCAGATGAGCTTTAAAAAGATCCACTAAGTCTAGATAATATCAACTCAAATTAAGTAACTTTTCGAAGAACACACAGTTTGGAAATGACATGACTTAATCTGAATTTTCTTGTATTCATTTATGCCTCTTGAATCTAGGATAACCTCATTGAAAGAATTGGAAGAGCTTATGGGTGGAAAGAGTTCCTAAATTACACCACTGTGGTGTTAACCTAAGAGTTGGCTTTTCCTTAGCCATTACAGTTAGCTGCCTCTGGTCTCCAGCTACCTTAACTGAACACACATGGTCCTGCAAGTCAGCACGGTCTTGCAAATCAGCATTAGCTGTGGGACTAGGATAAGTGAAAGAGTGCTTCCCACATTGAGCAGCAAGACTGGGTGAGCATGGCTTATGGCAGAAGACTTCAGTGAGAGCAAGACCCGGATGGTGGAGACGCTAGCATTGCTATGGAGAAACTGGGGGAAAGTGTGACATGAAGCTTTTTGCATCTGTGCTGGCCACAGTTAAAGATTTGACTGTTTTTGCCAGATGCTTGAAGGAGAAGCTGACTTATAAGTGCTCTGAGGCAAACCTTGTTGGATGATTTGAATTTGACTGCTTAAACTGAAACCAGAGCCTGGACCAAATGAGGAATTGTGTCTTGGGACTGACTGTTGGGCAAAAACTTGCATTTGCATTGGGTGGTATTCTTTGCCTCCCCAACTCTCCAACTTCCTCCTCTAATAAACCCCATTTTTGGTACCATAACTAAGTCTGTGAGTCAGCAATGAATAAAAGATGCTGCAGTAAGCAGCCCCTCCTGCTGCTGTGACTCTGGAGGCGCCATGGGACTGGGCTACAGGCTCTTTAACTGCTTTCTGCTCTGAAGTGGTGAGGAGATGTGCTATTCTTACTCCTTCTGTCCCTTGAGAGACAAGATCATGGCCTTGTGCTCCCATGGCCCATTTCCTCTTCTTCAGACAACCACCAATTTAAAAAAATAAATTATTTTTAAATAATTTATTAAAAAAATAGATAACATTTATTAGTTCTTATAAGACTAAGAATTAGTTCTCATGTAAGTCTAAGAATCAGTTTTCACGATAAGACAAAGAATTATCTTAATTATAAGGATTAAAAAATTATTTCATGTAATGTTTTTACTGCTATGACTATATAACTTTTTTCTGTAACATGACCATACTGATAACAACTCAGTTTAATTAAATGAGTAAATATGACTGAATTTTCCCCCCTCCTCTGTCACATTCTCTAGATCCATATATAGCTTAATTCCATTTAGTAAATAAATATATTTTGGAAATTCTATTGGTAAAACTCATGGAAAAACTCAATACAGCTTTTATATTTTTAAATTTTTTCTTCTGCCCAATATTTAAGAAAATAATGTGTTACCTAAATAAAACTTTTTGCAATCACTAAACCTTTAGACTTCTCTTTTATTTGAAATGACAGATCTTTACTTAACTGACCCTTTGTTCTTATTCACTGATGTGAAATAATATGCAATAGTGAAAATACAAACTCGATTTAAAATTTAAATTCATTATCATTGATCCTAAATTGACTCATAGCCGACCCTCCAGCAGGTTTCTGATGTCGTAAATTGTACAGCAGTTCATCTTTCTCCTGTGGAACTGCTGGTGGATTTGAACCGCTAATGATACATAACCTTTGGGCGAGCAACTCAGTACTATGAACGACACTGAATTTTATCCCTGGCAAGCAGCCTATGGAGAAGATATAGTAGCAGAGCAGATGATTGACTTACCACCACTCCTCTTTTTTCTAGTTCTTTATAAACATAATTCATTGGTGCAGAAAATGTTAAGGTTAGCTGGCAACCTCTTTCTTCTATATGAGATGGAGTAATTATGTTCATAAGTGGTCTCTTGCTTTCTGCATTATCTTTATTATAGTAATGCTTGATCATGTACTCCAAGTAACCAGTTAGCAAAATAGATTTTCTCCTCAATGCTTTAACAGTTGCTTGTTTAAAGATCTGCAGACAGAGAAACAATCAGATTAACAATGCAAAAGTCAATGGTAAATTATACATAAAAAAAGGGAATTACTATGGTGACTCCAACTTTTCAATTCCCCCTTGGATCTTGCATAGATCCATTGTAATTAATAACATAAAACACAATATATATGGATGATTGCATGAAACACAATGTGAATGAAAGAAAAAAAAGAAAAATTTAGCCATTCATTTTCCTCATCTGATAAATGTCACAGGTAGAGAATAATAAAAAATAAAAACCCGAACAAAGTGAAAAACTCAAATAATTTCACAGATGAGAAACTGAGTATGAAAGAATGAAGAGATGGCTCAGTTTGAGTGTGTACTTGTAACAAATGACCCTGTGCTCCCCTTTGAGATGGCTGTTAGAGTGTCATTTCTGGACCAACGCCCTAATTCAGGCTACACTTTGGCTTACTTTGAACTTTGAACATTGAACTTCTGTTAAGGAAGAATGATAGGGAAAAAAATTGCTAATGATAAATAGGGATGATGGAATATAATTAATGTTACTGAACTGCACATGCTGAGATGGATGGCATGATAAAGCTTTTTTAAATGTAAAAGAATAAAGGAGATGACCTCTTTTAAACTTTCCAATGTGCTTTCCATGGCACAAAAACTTCATAGATTTTTTTAAGTAATATTAGAAAAATAATT